GGTTGCAATAGGTGGTTTTGATAAGGAAGGGAATTTTAATAATGTATTTAATATATTTGTATTTGTTTAATTTTTAATTTATATTTAATTTAATAAAGTAGAATTAAATTTATGTAAATACAACTATAATAAACTGTAATATAATGGTAAATTCAGTAATAAAATCGTATAAATTTCATGATAAAATCAGTGATCAAATCATGTAAATTCCATACGAATCCCGTGTAAATTCCGTATCCAAACCATATTTTTAGTGATACGGAATTGTGCATTTTTCCGTATCCTTTCATGATACGTTATTTCTAAGGAAAAAAAATCGTATAAAAACTTTATAAAAAACGTATCCGATTTTTTTATAGGGGTTTATAATATTAGAATGATATAAATTATATTTACAATAATATATTAATGATTTGATGTTTGAATGTAGAATGAAATTAAAGAATTGTCAATAATTTTGTTTCATCACATATTTTTGTATATTAGATTGAATAAATTACACTTTGTCATTATTTTAAGCGTGATTTTTCAAAATTAAATTATATATTAGGCTTGTAAAAAATGAAAAAAATGCTAATATTTTAACTAAAATTTTTATTTTTTTCCTTATGGTAATTAATTAATAAAAAAAAGGTCGTGATCGCGAAATTTATTGGATGCAAAATTTTCAAAGGAAGGCATTGAATGCCTTCCTTATGCTAATTAATTAAAAAAGAGGTCGCGATTGTGAAATTTATTGGATAGAAATCATGAGAAAATTTTCAAAGGAAGTACAAACTAGTCAAATAAACAAATAATTAATAATACTAATAATTCATCCTCATTTGCGTTATTTTAAGTGTCGTCTTCCATCACTCCTTTTCATTTTTATTGATCATTGTAATTTACTTATCTTTTTTATTTATTGTTATTGTTTGTATCACTTCATTGAGGTGATTTTTTCTTTAAAATCGTAAATGTGTGACTTAAATTTTAATATTTGCAAATAAAATTTCATTAAATAAGATTATTTTGAATAAAGATGTTTGCAAAAAATTTGTTTAAGGAATATCTTTTGCGGTAAAAATTTTATGTTTAACCGATCAAAAATTAGCTAAGTTAAAAAAATCAGCCGTCAGCCGATTAATAAATTTACTCTATATTTTGTACATCATGTGACATATTTGGAAAAAAACCCAGGCGACGTCTAGCAATCCCTCAAAAAATTTAGTTAAGGTATTTAAAAAATTGTATCATTAAAAATGTTTATGGTGAAACAAATTATACTTATATATATTTATTATTAAAAAAAAATAATAATTAATTTGTTAAAACGTGTCCATACGATAACGAGATTTTTATAAAATTAATGTATGACGTTAATTAATAATGTATTACAAATAAAATGACATCGATTTGAAGAATGTTAGTTACATTCTTAAAATGAAAAAAAAAGATTCCACACCCTGAATAATACTCACTTACACAAGAGTCAAAAACCAATCCCTATAAAAAAATCCAAAAAAAAGATGTTATTTATGTTTTTAAACTAAAAAAAATCTCTCCTATAAGTTATCTTTAGGTTTTATTCGGCGTTTTTAACTATTTAAGTTTCCCCTCTTCACGTGAAATTATCATTTAAAGTCTCTGATTTTGAAAATGCCCTTTCTTTGAAATCGTTGTTGGGTTGTCAAATACACAACACAGAAATAATCTGCGATCACATGACATATCCAATCAAATACGTGATTTTTATATATTGAAACGAAAAAAATCTTTTTCAAAAATTTATTAAGCCTTAAAAATTAAACACTCAATTTATAATAATTAGTAATATATATATGATTTAAATATAAAATTAAATATAATATTAAAAACATTGAGTCGTATTAAAACATGAAAGAAATTATAAAATAAATAAAATTCTTTGCAATATATTTTATTTAAACATAGTTTCACCATAGTTCATTCAGTAAAAAATAATATTAAATAACGCCAATAAAAAATGCACAAAGTTAAAACAATTTTCACTAATAAAAGAACAAACAACAAAAGAAATAAATTATGCAAGAGATTGTTATTAAAAACTGAAGAATAATGTGAAAATATATAAATATAGGATGAAACTCCACTTTCAAAATAATAGTAATATGCAGCAAGTAATGGTGAAAAACGTTGTTATCATAAGGAAAAAACAATGTGAAATTTGTGTAGATTGGTTTAAGGCTGGAAAATCAAACAGTCATTTTAGGAGACCATGTAAAGGAAAAGGAAAAATGGAAGTAAAGATTGAAAAATGTAGAAATTGTAACAGAGAAATATCAAAGTCAAATTTTAAAAGACACAGAAAAATATGTGAAAAATTTAATATCAAAGAAAAGGATACCCAAATATTACATTTGTATACACTGACAATAATGCATAAATACATGAAAATGATGGAAATAAAAAGGAGACAAACAAAAAGGTGGTTAAAGAATATTGAACTTGAATCAATTCCACCAACACAAATGTATCAACATTTGCCAGAAGAATAGGAGAAATAATAGAAGAACAAAACCTATAAATGAAAACTTATAAAAAGGATTAAATTCAGACCAAATCAAAAATTAATTATTTAAAATAATTAAATCCTACCTTAAAATAGTAAAAACCTTGATTCTTTTATTCTTTTTCTTGGGATGAAAAAGAATAACACTAATCAAATCTGATGGAATCAGACGATCTGAAATCATGTGAGATTAAAATCACATAACAAAAAGAAAGAGGTAAAATAATTCTGGAAAATTGGGAAAATTAATGAAAATTTTTAAGAAAAGACCTAAAAGAAATCCAGTACAAAAATACCATGAAAATTTCCAAATGAAGTGACAATTGTGAGGAAATAAAGTGATAATTACAAAAATATCACATGACAACATCAAAAAAGTCATGAAAATTCGAAATAATCACAAACCAAATTTGAAAATCAAAATCCTAATGAAAAATAACTGCAAACAAGAGGAAGAAAATAATTAAAGAAATTATAAGAAGAAAATATTACAAGACAAGCAATGAAATGAAATAAATTAATTTCTGGAAAAAAAAATTAAAAGGAAGATAAAACCATTGAATTATATTTGAAGCAAAATTCTAAGCTGTTAAAAAGGCACAACAATCAATTAATAAATGATCAGCAAAAATGTTGAAATAACATGACCGATGGGAAAATCAACAAAGTGCAAAAGATAAACCAATGGAAATTCAGAATTGAAAATATTAATGGATTAAAAAAATATTTTGACGATAATGTCAGAAAAATCATATACCTATAGTAGGGAGGGATAAGATTTCAAATTAAATAATTAATTAGAAATTACTAAATAAGGAAAGAAGAAGGTAGATCATCACCAAATAAGAAATTTTGGAAATACAAAGTAACACAAAGAGATGCAGTAGATTATGTGATGAACCACAGCCACAGGAGGAGAATATTTGACCAACCGCAGTAGAAAATATTTGATAAGACACAGCAAAGTCAAGTGACAATGCATGCTTGATTTAGTGGTATAATTTGTACCTACTACTTCAAGACATGAGTTTGATTCTTATGGAAATAATTTGTGAGGTCACAAATTTCCATGCAGGGGAGAGTTGTAATGCTGTAACTTACCTAGTAAATTTAATAATTGTGAGGTGCAGTACTATAGTATATAAATTTTTAGTTTAAAAATTGTATTTTCAATTAGTCCACAAAGATGTTAAACTACGAATCATATGATGCATTGATAATTGGTCCGCAAAGACGTTAAACTACGAATCATATGAACAAAGGATAATTGGTCCACAATGATATTAAATTAGTAGATCATTAAATCAGATAATTCAGAATATCAGGTGATTAATTTGTAGATCATGACGTTAATGATGAAATAATTTGGTTTCACAATTAAGGGGTCAACTTATGATGATTATTGTGGGGTAAAGTATCGAATTTATGGAAATTATTATTTTAAGAATTTGTGGGAAATATTATTTTAAGTCATTACACAGTACTCATAAATGAAATCATGAATTTAATGTAACAAAAACAAATATAAATTCAGAGGATAATATGACCACCCCAAGGGAATTAAAGAATAATGATTACAAATATTTTGATATAATTATTTATTATTTAATACTATTAAACCAAGCATATTATTGTATTTATTTATATTATTATGTTAATATCTAAGGTGGCAATGTGATTTATCACGGGTTTAGATGTTACAGTAGTGATGACGTGTACTCGCGTAGCAATTATAATTTAATATATATAGACCAACTCCTTCTCGCAATTTCTCTTTGCTTTGAGTGCATTTGTGTTTCTTACTCTCTTACTCTTCACTCTTCATGACTATGACTAGGCAAGTATAAAAAATTTTGTTAAACTTTTTTTTGTTTAAATTGCTTATAAGGTCTATCAGATCTGGAGGAGAGTTTGATTATGTTTCTTCCTTATAGCAATATGAATATAATATCTATGGGATAAGTATTCACTATTTTGTACATGAGTTCTCATTACTACGAGTTTTTAAGCATATGTATTTCAAGTTTTCTTACATGAGCAGTACTCACTACGAGTGCTAATCTTTGTAAGGCCTGAATTTTTATCATACTTGCTTAGATGATCATCTAATCACTTGATTTATTTTATAGTTTATTATGGAAAAACATATAATTGATTATCTCAGAATAAATGGATATTGAAGTTGGGGTGTCCTAAGTGTTTTACAATATTTGTCTGTTAATATTAAATACATGAATGACAATATCAAAGAAATTTCTCAGATATTACAACAACAATTAGATAAAACCCCACCTACTACTAAGATAAGTCACCCTGTGGTCTAAGGTAAGGTTTACATATAAAGCTCTTTAAAAATCCTACTATAAAAGGAAATTTCATGTTACATTGTTATGATTTTTTTCCTTTTTAGTTAATTAACCAATAGAATTTAAGCAAATCCTAAGGTAAGGTTTCATATGAAAGTGAAATTTCTACCAGTGATATATCTTAGTAGTAGGTGGGGTCCTAATTAGATGTAACATTACAGGATCCCAATATCTTCAAGTTAGCATAAGATAATAAAGCAAAAAAACTTTCAGAAAATTTAGCATTAGAAATAAATAAACCAGAAGTTCAAGATTTTCTAAGCATAATGGTGGCTAGTTATAAGCTCACTTTTAATGTTTACTACTAAAATTTATTAAACTAACTATACTAATAACTGCCAATAGGAACAAGAGGAAAAAGAAATACCAGCCCAAGACCAACCTTCTCAAGACAAACCAGAACTTTCACAAGAACTTTCACCACTACCATATACATTATATGAAAATGATACACAGTTTGTATTATTTATTTCTGTTGTAAAGGATTTGCATTCAATTTTATATATTTATGTATTTTTATTTTATTTTACAGCTATACAATTATTATTTATACTCCTTGTATAATTTCAAAGAATCAATTAACAATTGGAGTAGAATATAATAAATTACTAGTAATAGAAGGAAGTTCTTATGTAAATGATGAAAGTAATAAATATGGAAAAGTGATAAAAAATATGGCCCCTAGGACTCGATTTGAAGATTCTGCTTATTACTAAGTAAGTTGTAATAAAAATTGGAAGTATTTTATTAAATATTTAGTATATACTAATTTGCTTGTTTTTTGAGCAGAGTCAATCCAATGGATAAAGTAACAGTTAACATCAAACAAGGGTTAACAAAACTGTTAGTTAAAAAGTCGCGAGTCATGTTGACAATAGCCTAATTTAAATTTTTTAAATTTGCGGTATTTCATCCATTTCAATTTAATAATTTGACTAAGTAGATGAAAAGCTATTGGGTAGGACCATTAAAACTGTTTATTTTATATTACTGCTATTATTATATTTAAGTTTAATAAAAAAAAACAAATAACAAAATTGCTTTGTAATCGGAAATACTTGTTACACATTATATGAAAATATTATTTTCCTTGATAGATCAACCCCTTAATTAAATTAGTTGTTTGGTGATCATTATGCTGAGAAAATAAAAAAAAAGATCATACACTGATTGAGGGAGGGAAGCCATCTTGGATTATTTGCAAGTTTCATTTTTGAGATGTTTAAGGGATATTTTAAATTATCACGTGATATAAAACCTGAGAGTTAACAGGTTTTCTGAAAATTCGAAATTGTCACATGAGAGAGTCACTCACGAAATTTGGTTTGGCAATATGCTTTACCATGGCCAGCCCATTTGGTTGCTGGAAGTGCACCATCTTGCAACCCAACTATTTTGCTGGTATATGTATGCCAATTTCATGTCTGAGGTTGGAGGTGCAATACGGCCAGGCCATTTGATTGCCAAAAAGTACACTAGTGTCCTAGGAAAAATATTAGAATTTTATTGGATCACTAAGTTTGTTATACGAGAAAGTGTTCTTTTTTCGTTTCTAGTTATTCCTGTATTGTCTCCCCTAGGTGCCTTAGGTATCCTAGTAAAAAATAAAGTTCTAGAAAAAAAAATGAATATTTTTTATGGTACCTTTTTGGTATATGTGTCAGTATGCTATGTATCTGTCTCTTATACACATCTAGATGTGTATAAGAGACAGGGTATATGTATACTATTTTTTCACTATATCTGTAGATAAAAAATAAAAAATAAAAAGTAAAAAAGTCCGATTTTTTCTAGGCCACCTAGGCCACCTAGGCCAGACCATTCAAGAAACCATTCTAGTGTCCTAATAAAGTTAATTTGCTATTTCGCTTCTGCCTCTGGAAGTCAAAAATTTCCTAAGGCAGATTTTTCTAGGGCAGATTTGTCTAAGGCATTTAGTTTCTTCCTATGATAATATGTTTTCGAATGATACTTATCTACATGTAAATTACACATACCATAGATTGAGGTAGTTTGTTTCCCACATTGTTTGCAAGAGTTTCGCTGTCACCTTTTCCAATGAATTTTGCATCCTTCTTCTCAGGTACTAGCTTGTCCGCATACATTCCCTTTGTTAGAGATATATTGGCAGATAATTTGGCTCTCATTGGGTACATAACAAAAAGATAAAATATTGCTGCCTCCACCGGCGATCTGCAATATTACCAATAAAATTATTGAAAACTAAACTAAGCTAAAATCAACACTTAATAAAATCCCTTTTTAAAATCCCCTCATTCACCCATTCTATTTATATTGTTCGTAATTTTGGTATAAATTATACCATGTATAAGTTAAACTTTGTATAAATTACACTGGGTGTAAATTAAACTAAGTATAAGTTATAAAAAGTATAAGTTACACTGTTACACCACTGATCATTGGAATCTTATGCCACTTTCTTGAATCTTCGATGTGGCACAAATCCGCGTAACATCAGTATAATATAAATGGACAAAATCAATTATTTATAATACACCTCTCCAGAGTTCTTTATTCTTTTAACTCTAATATTCTAATATTATTAAGTATAGTTACTAAACCATTTAAATTAAGATCTTTGAGTTTCTTTGGAATAAAAACTAGAAAAATGATCATTTATTGGAGTTTTTTCCGGAATTTTTTTTATAGGGAAAAGGTTTACATATTGATGAATTATCAATTATTATTACAAAATATAGTGAATATTTAGAAAATTTTGAGTGTGCATTTATGAAACAATTATTTTAAAATATGATTCACATAAATTTTATTCAAATATTAAACAGAATCTTAGTTACCTTTCAATCATTATAGTGAATTATAATAGTTGTATTTAGTGTAAGTTCAACTATATTACAAAATCTTAGGTTGAATGTTTATATTACAAAATTTATATTGAATAATGTAGTTTTATTATATTACAAAATTTAGGACAAAGTCCTTAAAAGTAGCAATCAGAGAAAACAATGAATATAATTTGATAAAATATAACTCTTTTATGATAGCCATATTTTCAAAGAATTCTAAATGGAAGAAAACTCCTGTTCTGTCTTGTCTTGTCTTAGACAATATAATACTTCCGGAAAAAAAATTGATAATCAAATTGCTAATACCGAAAATAGGATCAACAAATTTTCATACCAAATCTGCTCTGGTACCAAATTTATATTTGGTTTTTTTCATTTAAACATTCTAATAATGTCAAAATGATGTCAAAAACTGAAGTAGCAGTAGCAATGGAGGGCTAATATTAGTGAATAATCTAATGAGCATGTTCAATACAAAAATAGATTTTGGGAAATAAGACTATGGAAATTGAAACCTATTGAAAGATGATAATGATGCCAATAGCAAAGTCAAATTAAAGAATTATGGAATTCCTTTGCAGCTCATGTTTAAAAAGCAAAAATTTTCTTATACTGATTATACTGATGAACTTGAGGCATATCTCAATGAACCATCAGCAAATTTTGACATGGATATTTTAGCATTTTGGAAGGTAAATAACAAACAAATAGCATTATTTATTATATTATTAGGAGTTTTATATTAATTATTGAATATTTTTTTATAGGTTCATGAAAATAAATTCACAAACTTGTCTCAAATGGCCAGAGATTTTTTGGCAATTCCTGGTATATTTTAATTTCAATTGTTTAATAATAATAATTTACAATAATTATCACTAATTTTATTATTTTAAATAGGTACGACGTACGAGTGTTCCAGTTTTCCGATGATACTGATCTCATTACACAAAGAAGATTCTGGAAACGATCAGAAAAGCCATGTGTTTATAAGCATGGATAAACTTTAAAAAAAAATGTAATTATTTAAAAAATATAATGTTTATATTATTGTTAAATAAAATTAAATTATAACGAAAATATTAAAAAATTTGGTTGATCTAATTCCAAATATATCAGTATATATATTTGTTTCAGAAAAAATTATTCACTGATAAAAAAAAAAAAATATTTTTTTTTTTTTTTTTAGTAGAAAGTGTATAGGCGACATTTTATTGTGAAGAACGCGTAATATACTTTCTCTTTTTTTCCAGACTCCTTTAGAGTTTAGACGCCACTTCGGACCCAGAGCATGATGTGTAACAGGTATGTAGGAATATTTTAAGGAGTCGTGTAGGGGGTATAGATCTATACTAACTTTTTTTTTCTTTTTTTTCTGGTCCCTCTTGGATGCCATTTCGCACTGGTAAGTAAAAAAAAATTATTATAAATAGGAATATAGACATTACTACTACTATTACTATTATTATTTATAGCCTTCGGTATAAACTTCTTTAGGCATTTTTTATTTTAAGGAGTCAGTATAGGCCTATACTGATTCTTTTTCTTTTTTGTTTTGTAAAGTTACATTCCGGTAACCTTTTGAACGCGAAATAGTAACAAGTAATTTTTTTTTTAAGTATTTCGTGGAGATGTCATATAGGCCCATGTTGACTCCTTTCTTTTTTTTTGTAGGTTCTGGACTTTCTTGGATGCCATTTCAGATCGGTAAGTTAAATTTTTTTTAAATGGAAGGCATATAGTGAGACGTGAACGAGAATTTATACCGTATGAGTTAAGCTTGCTTGTTCTTACAAAATAATTGTCCAGATTCATTTCTTCGTTGTATTTTTCCTGTTATTATGAAGATAAGCACCTCTGGCTCACATTATACCCTTTTGGCTAGCATTATATTGCCTTTGGCTGGCGATACTATGTGATGAAATAAGATTCTTTAATAGCGGCATAAATTGGGCAACTAAATTATTTGGTAAAGATCTGTGTGCTGGTTAAAGTTTCTTGGTTGATTCCAGAAAAATAGGAATGGATTCACTTTATTTCCAACTTAGAGATATTTTATCCTGAGGTTTAAGATTATAATGAATTATCAAAGTAAATCTCCTCGTAATTAATAAGAGACTGCTAGTATTTTAAATGACGGGCAAATTCATAAGATTCTTGAAACTAATAGAAATGAATACATTAAATAAATAAAAAAATATAAGTTTTATATATACATATTGATAATGAACGAACGTATAATTCTTTGAGCTTTAATAATATTAATATTTTACTTCATTGAGATAAGTTAGTGCGCGCCATGTAATCATATGCCTTATCACGACTTGATTAAAATAAAAATTGAATTCATTATTTTTCAAAATTAACTTGAAAATAAATTGATAGGTTTTATTGAGTTACAACACCTATAAGGGGTATTACATACGAAAATCATAAATTAATCACATTTGTATACTAGAATAAATATCAATGCATAAAATTATGTATAGGTTAATATTTTTTATAACAAAAAATTTCAAAGTATTTAGATTATAAATAATAAATTATTATATAAAATTTATTCATATAAAATATAGTACTGTATAAGGAATTATAAATCGTAGTGTCATACAAGATTTCTGTAATATTGAAATATATAGAATTTTTCTTATTGAACTCTTACTTATTATTCGAAAATTTGTATATGAAAGTTTCCTGTAATTCATGTAAAGTGTAAAGTTTGTGATTAAACATGCAAATTAGAATGAACAGTGTTAACCCGGAAGTTTTTTTTACAAATGTTATAAAATATAAATCGGATGCCAAAATAAGAATATAAAATCAAAGTAGTTTAGTCCGCCAAAATATTTTGTTTATTATCAAGTTAGGAAAAGGCAACTACTGCACGTCATTTTTTTTTACAACCCTTTTTTTAATTTGCAAATATTTTATGAAAACTCTCAAGAATAATGTTCTAAATTTAGAGTAATTTGTCAAAATATTTATTTATTTGTTTATAAATAACTTTATATCAGGGATAAAATCCTTACGAATGTATTTTATCATTTAAGTACTACCCGCTACACAATTTTCTGTAAAAAATCCATGTAAGTGACGCAACCTGGGTCTAGAACACACTTTATAAAGGTACAAAACAATGATTGGCAATCACGTGTTATTTTACACCCTATTATCACGTACGACATTT